AGAAGGGGATAAGACAGGAGAGGAAAATGTGGCAGGAATTGGAAAAATGAAAAGTAGTAGATAAGGCTGCTCTGTAGCCCACAACAGTGGACACCAACAAACCATTATCTAATAGCCAGGTAAAACATTCCAAAAGGTAAGGAACAGTAGGGTGGGAAGGCAAGAAACCATGGTGCAGAGATGTACTGCAGAAAAATGTGCCATTTTCTCTGGTACACAGATAACGAGGAAGGGCAGATAGAACATGAAAGAAGGGAGTCTGTGTCAAGAGAGTTTAGATTGCCTTGCAAGAGACTGGACAGACACTACATGGCTGATTGAAGTTGCCTGAGAAGGGAAGAGGTAAATGATGCAGAAGGGCAGGATAAGAAACCGAGGTTGAGCAGGCCAGAAGAGGGTTGGTCCATTTCTGACTGAACACATCCATAACCAAAGCCAAAGGATGTGGAAATGGAGACCAGAATAGGAGTAGTTTGAAACTTAGATGAGTAGCAAATGCATCCAAACCATTGGAAACTTGGGGAGAGAGGGACATTCTATTGGCAGTCTCTTGTTGGGATCAGATAACTGATCTGCTACAAGATTCCCAGTAATTGTGACATGGCAAATCAGAAGATGGACTGGCTGAGATGGGGCTCAAAAAAGGAGATCCAACATCTGAAAATAATTAATGTAAGAGACAATGATCGAATTGTCAGAATGTATTATTACCAAATGGCCCCATATCGAAGGTAAGAAAATGAAACAAAGTTCAATGAACAGCAAAAAGTTCCAAGAGAATATTTAACCACAGATTTAACCCAGTAATCCATATATGTGCCCATTCTGTATGAGAAGCATCTGTGAACAGGTGCAAATTGGGATGGGGAGAAGACAAGGAAACACTAGCCATAGTGCTGTCTCTGTTGATTCACCAGAAAAAAATCGACCTGGAGGGAAAAAAGTAAGAGGTTGATGGAATCCAAGAGATTCCAAATGAGATTCCATTGATCATGCAATGTCCAGTGAAGGCCACATGTGTGCACAATCGCAGCATATAAGGGCTTCTATGGATGCCCAGAAGAAGGCTGGGCCCTGCTGAGAAAGGTGTTGAAAAACACCCCTATATGTATAGGTGTTTAATTTCTGCTTAAGAAGTTAGCACACAAGGATCACATACAAAAGTTATAGTGGTTTTTAAACGAGACCCAAAACTTGAGTGCTTTTGAGTAGTTCACTAATCTTCTTCACGAGAATAAAGTGTTATGTCTAATTTCTGATTAAGAAGTTAGCACACAGGTCACATACAAAAGTTGTAATTGTTTGCAAACAAGACCCAAAACTAGAGAGCTTTTGAATAACTCACTATTCTTCTCCAGGAGAATAAAGGAAGGGTTATGTTGAATTTCTGATTAATAAGTTAGCACACAGGATCACACAGAAAAGTATATCAGGAAAATCTCTAAATAAAGACTGGCACAAAAAAGTCACCAAACAAAGGTAATGTAAGTATGAAAGAGAAAGACATGCAGATGACAAAAGTGTGTCCCTACCAATGAGATCCCAACACAAAAAGAGCAAAGTGTGAAGGGAAAGGGTGGAAGAAGATAAGTACACCAATGTTGACAAAACAAGGGGACAAATATTCTCAAAAAATCCTCAGTGGAGTGGTGGATAGTCTCAGAGAGGCGATGAATAGAGAAAAGATAACGGAGGATAGTGGTTAGGGAAGGATGAAGACGTAAAACCTGGGAAAAGAGACAAAAGTAACATACCTGGAAAAGATGTCAAGGAAGGCAGAGGAAGATCATGGAACATCTAAAGGAGTAGCAAGAGATTGCCTGCAAAGGAAGGAGGCAGGAATAGGCTGTCCAAATCATCCTTGTCATGACCAGGTTCACCAAGAAACGGGATATCTGGTCATGGTTTAGGAGACATAAGTGATCAAAAAACAAGAAGACAACAAATACATTGCCATTTAACCACAAAAGAATTGATAAAGTACTAATGAAAAAAAAATCATGCATGAAAAAACACAACTGCACATTAGAATGTCAAATCGAGAAGTGATGATAGTGCTCTACAGTGTAGAGGAAGTCAGCTACGCTAGGAGAGGATGTCACATTCCTACTGGTGGAGGGTTGTTGCATGCCTCAGTGCAGTTATACTACGTGTATTCATGTGAGGGTATGTAGGAGCATCAAGGCTAGTAGCGAACGAAAATTACACATATAGAGAGCAGTATAAGTAAACAGAGGTAAGGTATCATATCGGAATAGTGACAAATCAGAAATGTTGTGGGTAGGCCATAAACGATTACTGCCTGTAAAGTTTCCAGAAATGTCATGTTTATATCTCTTGTAAAGGAAGGATAAAGGACCATTATACTGTGTAAACATGTTCTTCAATATATCCAAAAGGTTTGCAAAATTTGGGCCCATTTTAGTTCTCATTGCTATATTGTTAAACTGTTTGTACAATTAATTGTTAAACAAAAATCCACTGCATTTTAATATTAGTTCTGCTAGACAAATCAAAGTGCTAGTGGAGAGTTGAAGTTTAGAACATTTGTCAAAAAATTATTTTAAAACTGTTTGGACATTACAATATATAAAAATTTGATGCCCATAGTAAATAGAAAGAGTAGTCTGCTTTGTGGTTAAAAGTAAATGTGTTGAAGAGATTAAGGGCATAATAAGTATCTTTAATATAAGTAGGAAGTAAGTGGATGAGTGGAGCCATTATGGAATCTAATAAGTGGCAATAAGATCAATTTGTGCATTAAAGTTACAGGGACACAAAATGGGTCTACCATGATTATTAGGCTTATGAATTTTATACACTAAATAAATAAACCTAATCTAGATTCAGAAACTGGTAATGTCAAATTGTTAGACATAGGTAGTTCATTATAAACACACAGGTGCCCACAACCAAATATATTTTCATTTTAGTCATTAAGTACATAAAATAACATTCCAACATCTCAATTGTGTTGTAAACCTGATGATTCCAATATTCACACCACAGATCTTGAACTCTTTTTACCCCAACAAATCCAGAAAAAAAACTCACAGCTCTGTTGTAAATCAAGATCACAACTTCTCTTCATCTCTCACAGAAACAAACCCTAAACTTTTCTTTGCCAGACCACCTCTTATCTTCACATAACAACAAACAGTTTAAAGACATTATCTTAAAAGATTGTGCACAAAACTGACACCACCAAAGGTACTTTTCCATATTTTTGTTGTGGAAAATTATGCACAGGAGAATCCAGTAGATTATTAGCTGAACATACTTGAGAATGAACTTCTGAGAAACATAATAAATAGCAACTCAGATAAACCAGTAACTAAATACTATAATTTGCACAAACACACCTTTGAACATTTTAAAATGCATGTTTTGAGAAAAAGCCCTATGAACAAACATAACTGTGAATTACAAAAAAAAAACTAATTTTACCTTGGAACTCTCCACTCTGATGAGATAAATGAATGTTTTAGTTTTTACATTTTAAAATGCTCTTAATTTATTTTTTTCATAGATTTATGTCTTATAACTTGTGTCGACTATATTTTCAATTGCTTTTATTTTTTAACTTTAATTCTTTTTCAAATTTTATTTTAAAACTTGATAGAAATATATATATATATGTGTATTGAAAATCAATACTCAAACAGTCAAGCAATACAAAATTAGAAGGAAGGACTGCATTAAAAACAGCAAATCCAAACTTGTGATAAATGACATCCAATCAAACAAAAACAAGCCCACACAAATGTCAAATAAAGATGCTGCACAAATCAAAAGGATCCCTTTATATAATGTGGGATATAAAATGTGCCCTGGGTTTTGGAGGTGACTGCAGAAATAGGACCCACATTGCGATGGGGATACACCGTCTATCAGTCTTAACCTCCATTCACTCATATGAAGAAATTAAAAAAAAATCTAAAGTAGAAATCAGGAGAGCGAGATGTGGGTGCTCTAGTCCACAACATCCCACATCTATATCACCCTTCACTACCTGCAGACAGTTGTGGGAAGATGACTGCTCTCCAAAGTAAAAGAAGGAAAGAAAGAAAATAAATTGTAAAGAAAGGTAAAATAAGCTACTACCACTTTACCTCCTGAGGTTGACATTCCAGCCCCCATTGTAGTAGTAAAACACTAATTAGTAGCACAGTAGACAAATTATACTGGTATAACGTCCCAACCAAGTTATCTATACTAACTAGTATAACTCCCAACCACCACCTGTTAAGTCCACTGTAGCAATGAATTTTAAGACTCTACACTAGCCTTTATATGAGATAAGTTGTTCATTTGCATAAAAGTAGTGCTTTTATGCAAACTCTCTGTTCTAGTGACAATTCTCTACGCTTTTTGGGCCGTGGCATGACAACAAAACTTAATAAATAGTGTTAAACACTGTTTTTATCAAAGTTTATTTGTGGAGTACTATTAAATTGATTTCTTCTAGCATATACCAGTACC